TATTCTAGGGGTTCCTGGCGTCCCAGCTATTTATTGCCCCCTGCCAAACCACCCCAGACTTAGTGACTTAGAATAGCAAATGTTTTATTCTATTTCACAATCGTGAGTTAGGAATTCAGGTTGAGTTCCACTCAGAGCTTCTGCTGCTCCTTCACCGAAGTCATTGGGCGGCGTTTAACTGGTGGGCAGGTTGCTCAGGTGGCCACCCCGCTGGCATGGCTGCCTTAGGGTAGCTAGACTTCTCCCTTGGTGACCGAGGGACCTGGAGAGAGTGGCACTGGCTGGAAGCTGCCAGATTTCTTAGGCTCTTGCTCTGAAGACCTAGAATATCATCGTCACTTCATCCGAATGGTTGCCACCTGTTACTGTGAGGAGCAGGAGAGGCTTTGAGGCCACCTTTAATCCAGCACATCTAGTTTGAGAGACTGAGTGCTCACTGCTCTCACTGCGCCCTGGAGTTAGGCCAGGTCATTCCACAGGTGCACATACGGATGGCCTCTCTTCGTATCCATTATCACATTGCTTTCACCGAATTGTCTCTTGGCCTCTGCTACTGGGAAAAGTTAGAAGCAAAGCCCGTATATGTCATTATGTGTGTTCATGAAGGTACTTCTGAAGGGCTTTTAGCTACTACCAGGGGCTGCTCGGTGCCAGCCCTGAGACAACTGCCCTGTGGTCTGGGTACCAGGAACAGCCACGGCCCTTCCAAGTTTCTGAAATCAAATCCTGCAACTTTGTGATTTGTATTTCCTTTTTGCCTTTACTCCAATAAAAATTCTTCGATTTTCCCTTTTGTCTTAATTGTTATGTATTATTATAGTTGTACTTTACTTTTTATGCTTGCTTAATATGTGACATCTATGGCAGGGAGATAAAAGCAAATGAATTAAGTATAAATAAATTGAGAACATGAAAGAGCACGCAAGCATAAGGGCCCAGCCTCATGGCTCTGTCCTAGTTGGAGGCAGCACGTGGACTTCAGTGTGGTCTCTGTTCCCTCGGTCATGGGGGGCTGTGGCCCAGTCATCGCAGCCCCTCTAATAATCCATGACAACAAAGCCTCATACAAGTGATTATTATGTCATGAAGCTGCTTGAAGTTTAAACAAGATGGTGTACAAGATACAGTTAATCTAGTGTCTGTGCCTTGGAAGCTTCTACAAATATTAGCTAGTACAATGACTTTGAACTTCTAATTTAAAGTTGTGTTGTCCTTCAGTCTGATTGTGTTTCTATTTTGTGTACTTAGCTAGAAAGTATTCTTGGTTTTAGGTAATAAACTATGCTGTTTGATCTGTACCCATTAAATCTAACACAGTGTTATACAACCATGGTTGACATGCTTGTCCTAGGTCACAGTTAGTGGTGAGGAGACTTCCTATAGAACAAAATTTGAACTACAGAAAGAAGCACCATCTCAGTTCATAGGAAGAATGAGTAATCAATTTCATTTTTGGAATTGCTTTCAAAGTCACGTAAAATTTATGGAGATTTAAATATCTAAAGAATATAAATTCATTATAAGATTAGTTTCAGTTTCAAATTATGTATATTTAGGAGTAATGGGAAGGGAAGAGAAAAGATTAGAAAGAGGCGTATGGGAGAAACACAGAGGAAAAATAGGAAGACTAAAAGGAGATTCAGAAATTTAGGATTGAAATAATTTGACAAATACTTATTGAACGTCAATTTTTTTCATTTTTTAAAATTTTATTTTTAAATCATGTTTATTCTGTTACAGTTGTCTCAATTTTTCCCCCTTTGCCCTCCTCCACACATCCCACCCTGCCCCCTCTCCCACAGTCAATTCCCACTCTGTTGTCCATGTCCACGGCTCATTCATACATGTTCTTTGTTTAATTCCTTCTCCTTCTTTCCACCATTGTCCTCCTTCCCTATCCTCTCTAGTCTCTTTCAGTCTGCTCCATGTTTCCTTACCTGTGGTTTATTTTGTTTGTTAGTTTATTTTGTTGAAGAGATTCCACTTATAAGTGAGATTGTATGGTATTTGTCTTTCACCGGCTGGTTTATTTAATTTAGCATAATATTCTCCAGTTCCATCCATGATGTCGCAAAAGGTAGGAGTTCCTTCTTTCTTGATTTTTATTAAAATGCAGATTGATTTTATTTTTTTAAAGTCAAGACCCATGATCAAATATTAAAAAATTTAAATCCTTTATAAAGTCTCAGCAATTAAAAGAACCTGACACCAGCAAAGAAATAATTAAGTAGATCAATGAAATAAAATGAGCATTCTAGAAACAAATGTATATATCTAATATTGTAATATATGATTAAATTGATATTTCAAATCAATGGGGGAAAAGAAGGCTTATTCAACAAATAAGGTGCATGGACCACTATTACTTGAAATAAAACAAAAATAGAGCCTGATTTCACACATTATACAAAAAGATATTCAGGTGAGTTAAAAATCAATATGTAAAACCTAAGGAGTCTTTGGAGAAAGTCCAAAATAATATTTTTCTTACCCTGAAGTAAAATATTCAAACCCAGAAGCTATAAAGTAAAATATTGACAATATGACTATACTAAACATTTAAGACTATATAGTAATATACATATAAAAAGCTAAAGGACAAGTAATAGAATAGGAAAGTATTTGCAACACATCTAGAAAATGGTTAATAGTCTTTTTTTTAGGGAAAAAAATTCTACAAACCTTTAATCAATAAATGGATAAAGAATACCAAAATGTAATTAAAAGCTTTTTAAAAATAATAGAAATACACAAGAACTATACAAAAACAGGTTTAATTTCAACAAATAATAAAGTAACAACTAAAATATCATTGTCACAATCAGATTAATAAGTATTAAAAATATTGGTAATATCAAGTATTGGTGACTGTGAAATGGACTGGGTATTCATAGACTCTTTTTCTTCATCTTCCTTAAGCAGTCCCTTTAGCATATTTTACAATGCTGGTTTGGTGGAGATGCATTCTTTAGCCTTCTTTTGTCTGGAAAACCCTTTATTTCACCTTCCATTTTAATTAAGAGCCTTGCTGGGTAGAGCAGTCTTGGTCGTAGGTCTTTGCTTTTCATTACTTGGAATATCTCTTGCCATTCCCTTCTGGCTTGTAGTGTTTCTGTTGAGAAGTCAGCTGCTAGCCATATCGGGACTCCTTTATATGTTACTATCTCTTTCTCCCTTGCTGCCTTTAGGATTCTCTGTCTGTCTTTGATATTTGCCATTTTAATGATGATGTGTCTTGGAGTGGGCTTCATTGGGTTCCTCTTGAATGGGATCCTCTGTGCCTCCTGGACTTGTGTGACTTTTTCTCTCCTCAAATTAGGGAAGTTTTCTATCATTACTTTTTAAAACAGGTTTTCTATCCCTTCCTCCTCTTCCCTATTATACGGATATTATTACATTTAGGTTGTCTTGCATTTCCCTCAACACTTCTTCATTCTTTTTCAGTCTTTTTTCATTTTCTTGTTCTTTCTGAGAACTTTTTTCTACCTTATCCTCCAGCTCGCTGATTTGACCCTCGGCTTCATCTAGCCTGCTTTTGATTTCTTCTGTGTTCTTCAATTCAGAAATTGTATTCATTTCCTCTTGCCTCTTGTTGATAGTTTCTATGTCCTTTTTCATGCTGATATAGTTTGCAGTAAGTTTCTTGTAGTTTCTCTGTAATTTTTGGTAATTCTCTCTGAGCTCACTGAGCTCATTGAGCTTCCTTAGAACCATTGAACTCAATATCTGATAGTTTACTTGCCTCTATTTCATTTAGTTCTCTTTCTGGGGATTCCTCCTTTCCCTTCAATGTGGAGGTGTTTGTCTTCCCATTATTTGTGAGGCTCTTCTCTTTTGCTTCTGCTTCTTAAATTGATGTCTTGATTTCCTGACTTTGTGGTGTCAACTTCTATGGTATGAGACTGCTTTTTTTTTTTTTTCCTGGATCTGCCTTTGATGATGTCAGATGTTGCCCCTGTCTGACCTTAGGCAGTCTGAGACTTTCAGGAATCTACTGTCTGTGGCTGTCTCCTTCAGCTGTTAATCTAATCACTCTGCACTCAGCAAGCCAAATTAGAGACACCACAGGGCAGGGTAGAGTCCTTCCTGAGGGCGGGGTTATTGTGTCCTCTTACGCTGTTGCTGCTCAGGGGAGTGGTCTGCCTGAGCAAAATGGTTGTGGCCGTATGGGGGATGAGTCAGCACTGGGACCCTGCTGGCCACTCTCTCAGTTCTCCCCTCAAGGCCTCCTTCTCCAGTCTCTCCTCCGGCGTCTCCAGCCCACTCTGCCCCCACCTCCACCAGAGACCAGGACAAGTGGCTGCAAATAAAAATTTATGCATTGGCCTTTTAAATAGCTCTTTGCATCTCCAGCCGGCTGTCTCTGGCAGAGAGCAACTCTGCTGCTCTTCGCAGCTGGCTGTTACCTGTGTATTTTTTGGGCTCTGGTGCTGTAGGCTGGAGATCCCTGCTTATGGTTTAGATGCCGCTCTTCTCAGGGGGATCCAGCTGGCCATTTCAATATCCTTCTGGTGCTGCTGACCGTGGGTGCCCTGCCCACCTTCCTGAGTCTCTACCACACTCCTTACCAGTTAGATTGCACTAACGCTGATTCTTCTGTCTCCGAGGTTATAAGGCTCCTCTCTCGCTATTTTTCAGTTGTTTTTTTCCAGGTGATTTCCCCACAATTTAGCTGTAATTCCAGGTTGGTCCTGGGAGGAGGTCAGTGTGACTTCCACTCACTCCTCCGCCATCTTGTTTCTCCTCTTCTGAATGTCAATTCTCTTTTAACAATTTCTAAAAACATGTGGTCTCTTAGAATTGAAGACTGTGGGTATAGATAGAACATAGGCACTGTGACTGCACAGGAGACGATGCTTTGGACAGGGGATTAGGGAAAATTCTGAAACCTCTAAAACAACTTACACTGTTTCCTTATTGGCCCCTTAAGTGAGAGGTTCTCTGAGCACCCATTCCACCTGCTGGGTCTGTGGCCGTGGAGTGGGCCCCAGCTCAGGTCTTTATCTTCTGCAGAGCCACCACAGCCTCACCAGCAGTTTTCTAAGAGCTCCCTTCACATCCTTGTTCCTCAGGGTGTAGATGAAGGGATTGAGGGTGGGGGTGATGATGGAGTAGAAGAGGGAGATAAATTTGCCCTGCTCTTGCGAGTAGCTGGCCGGGGGCTGCAGGTACATGTAGATGGCAGGAAGGTAGAAGAGGGAGACCACCGCCAGGTGGGAGGAGCAGGTCCCAAAGGCCTTGTGCCGAGCCTTGGAGGACTGGATTCGGAGCACTGCCCGGGCGATGAAGCCGTAGGAGAGCAGGATGAGCACGAGAGGGACCAGCACAAAGAGGGCCACCAGCACGGCCAGCGTGGCATCATTCACGGCGGTGTCAGCACAGGACAACTTGATCATAGCTGGCACTTCACAAAAGAAGTTGTCTAGCACCTGCCGCCCACAGAAGGGCAACTGCACTGTCAAGACTACCTGAACTAGGGAGTTGCCAAAGCCGCTTAGCCAGGCCACGGCCACAAGCTGCTGACAGAGAGGACGGTGCATGATGAGGGCATAGCGCAGGGGCTCGCAGATGGCCACAATTCGGTCCAGGGCCATGGCAGCCAGCACGATGCACTCGGTGCACCCCAGCCAGTGGAATACTGCATACTGCACCGTGCAGCCCCCGTAGCTGATGGTCTTCCTGGAGCTGCCCAGGTTGACCAACATCTGGGGGACTGTGGTGGTGGTAAAGCAGAGGTCTAGGAAGGAGAGGTGTCTGAGGAAGAGGTACATGGGGCTGTGGAGGTGGGGGTCCAGCTGGGACACCAGGATGATGGCAATGTTCCCCAACATGGCAAGAATATACAACACCAAGAGGACCACGAAGAGAGGGAGTTCCAGCCATGGCCTGCCAGAAACACCCAGGAGGATGAAATCCCTCGGAGGGCCCCCCAGGAAGCTCTGGTTGTCAGCTCTCATGGTGAGGCATTTTCCGGCACCTGTGAGGAATCAAAGTTGGAAGGAATGAAACCCTAGAAAGGAACTGCCTTCCTCAGCCTGTGCCTGTGCTTCCCCACACAGGTTCCACCTGACTTTCCTCTGGGAGACAATGAGATGAGGGGTCAGAATGAGGGACAGGACATGCTCTCCCTCCTATTCTGTGACCCTGACTACACCTTTTAATCTGTCTGAACTTCATATTTGCACCTGGAACAAGGTCAGAGAACACCTGCTTCAGCTCCAGATGATACAGGGAAATGACCTTCGTGAAAGCATAGTGTGTGGACAATTCTGATTTGGTCAAAGTCTGCCATAGCTCCATTGCCTGTAGAATGTTTATCTCTACACACACATTGACAAGGAACTTACCAGTTTCTTAGGCTCTCGTTTTGCATTTTGGAGGTGGAGGTAGGAGGGAGGTGAAAGGTGGCATGAAGCAAGCACAGGGGCTCTGTAAGCAAATGGGGGGTCCTCACTATGACACACCCTGGCCCTCTGCGCCGCGCTGGTCGCTCCCTCCATGATCCTCACACACAGACAGCACTGTCCCTCACTGTGGCAACAAGGAGAGCACAGTCTGACATCCTCTGGGTCCTCGGGTGGACGAGCTCAATCACTCCTGCCCCTGACTTGATCACGGTACCTGGTATGACCCCATAGGAGAGGTTTCGAGCACAGGGTGAAAGGTGTGCTCGAGATAAGAGGAAAAATAAAAGTTGCAGAGATAAGAGGAAAGATAAAAAGGGTGAAGGGACTAAAAAGTTAGAAGGGTAGACATAGGCCACACTTGATAAATACAAATTATTAGGTGCTCACCATGAGCTAGGTACCGCTATAACACCTCCATATGGCATCTGATTTAGTCCTTTCACGACTCAGTGACTTCTGTATCTTTTACCCAGTTTTAGTGAGATCAGAGTGGTGTGGGGACAATAGCTGGTCTCCCTTAGATCATTCACCCAGCAGCAGGCAGCAAAGCCAAGACTGAAAGCTAAGGTGTGGCTCTTCACCATCATTCCCTCCAGCAGCTTGCTTTTTAAAAAGCAGTTGGTGAATAGCATCAGTGCAAATGCCTGAGGCAGAGAGAAGGCCTGAGAGAGGAGAGTTATGTCACCAGAAGGAAAGGGGTGCGGGAAGTGAGGGGAGATGATTTTTGTAATTTCCAGTGCAGTGCACCAGGCACGTGTGGGTGTGCGTGCCCCTCACACACCTGCCCGCCACCATCCAGCCATTCCTGCAGGGAGCTCCGCTTCAGACCCAGCCTCCGCACCCCCTTAACCCTCTTCTGTCTTCCTACTCCCTAACTGGAGGAGCTCCCCAAGGCGCTGCCTCGCTTTTCTGGGTGAACACAATCCTTCCTGAGTCAGCCCTTTCTAGAATCCTTCCAGGGCTGTCTCTCCGGCTGCCCGCTCCTCACTGATGTCCAGCCCTCACCCTGTTGTTGTTAGCAGTGCGGGGGGCGGGGGGTAGGGGGTGGCATTCCATATGGAACTGTCAGCCATTCCTTGGGCCTCCTGCCCCCTTACCCCCGCCAGCCCCTTCTGCTTAATCTCTGCTGTCTCTGCATCGGTCACCCTGACTGAAAGCAGCCAGGTGATTTCTAACAACGTCCTGCTCCTCCCTCACCGCATTTCATCAGTGGCCGTGGCCTAGGCACAGCTGTGCACACCCTCACCCCCGCCGGCCTGGGCAGACAGCGCCGTCTGGACCCCTTGGCGCCCGCTGTCTCGCTGCAGGAGTCCCTTCCCTGTCCCAGCTGACACTCACCTTCACAGCACAGTCGCCTTTCCGAGTCAGGCTGTTGTTGGGTCTGCCAGGTGCCTAACACAGAAGAGGCCGTCTCCATCAACAGTCATGTGGTGAGAGTACGGGCTGCATTCTTTCCACGTGGGTCCCTGGCAGTCTCTTCTGACACCATCACACCCATGGGCCATTTTCATGACCGTCCTTACAACAGCCTGCTGGCAGGCCAGGCTGTGAACATACGGATGGACCTGTGATGTATATTGTTCTCTGTGTCACTCAGAATGCTTGGGACACATGCAGACATGTCATCCTATTGCCTGACACTTGACAGAGCATGTCATTTGCTCCAACAAACGAGAGAGGACTCTGGAAACGTGTAAGCTCATGGGGAGGGAAAACGATGGGGAGGCCATGGGCTTCGATTGCTCATTAGCCCCGAAGGCCTCGCCCTTCAACCTAAAATTCAGCCTGAACCCACCGCCCAGATGACAGGGGCAGGACCCATTAACTGCTGAGGCCACAGCTGCGGCTGGCTGCGGGAGGCAGGGTCCGGGGGACAAGGCTTACAGTGACAACGCTTTCCTTCACAGCTATCAGCAGGGGCTCTTCCGCCACAAAAAGAAACCAGTGCCTTTCTCCTGAGTAGCGTGTCTCTCCCATCCAGAGGACGAGCTGATTCTTGGATGGAAGTTCTGATCAGACTGAAACCAAGGAATAGGCTGGCACCCTAAGGGTCTGCAGGTACCATGTGCACTCTGCCCCTGCTCGCTGCCATCTGCTCTCACTCACCCGGTACTGCTGGGCCCACCGCGTCCCGTTGTGGGGAGTGTCCCTTCCTGCCCAGGGCACCTGGGCTCTCCTTGCAGCTTCCTCGGCACCCTGGCTGATTCCCCAGCGTGGACCATCCCCTGGGGTCTCCACGTCAAAGGTTTGAGGAGCACTGATAACCGTGTCTTCATGAGGGGCTGGGGCATAATTTTTAAAAAGGCTTTAATTTCAGACATTAAGCAACATTTCCCTAACAAACGGTGGGAGGGCAATGAGCCAGCACTGGAGCGCCCTCTGTCGGCCGTGCACCCTGGTGGAACACAGGCCGACTGAGACTTCAGAAGGGTTGGGGACGTCCTCCTCCTCCAGGTCAGTGCTGGGGCATGACTCCAGGGGCTGAGCCACGGCTGCCCCACTGCCGGTTCCCACAAAGCTGACATTACCTCCTTGCAGGTCCCGGATGTGTAACCTGTGACCCAGGTACATATGTGACTTTTCATTAAATACCCCGTGGAGCTGACACGTAAAGAACTTGCCTAATGGAAAACTTAATAATGCGCTTTATCATTTGTTAGTAATTTCCAATATGGTGAATTTTACTGCTTGTGGACATTGTATATTTCCTTACAAACCAGCGTCTGTCTTACATGTGTCATTCAGAGCACTTAAATGTGTAACGCAATTAATTCATGGAATGATCACTGATTTTGTTAACAAACAGCTCCTTCCGTATGGCACGCGGTGTCCAGGGCCTGTCTGTGGTTCTCTCTGGTGGTGGCGGGAGGGAAAGGAGGAGATGCTGGGACACAGCAGGGCTGGCCCCTGGGACCCCAAGGACAGGACACAAACCACGCAGGGAATTTGCCAGCTCCTGTAAACCTTGCCTGTCACTGTGACAGTGACAGTCCCTCCTGCACATGCCAGCTCCCCACTCACACTCCATGGCCTTTGTTTGTTCTTTAAATATTTCAATTAGCTGTTAAAATTCAGCTCAGAACCTATTTTCTCTGGGGACTGGTACTGTTTCATAACTCACTCTGTTCCTCCCTTTCACAGCCATGCTAGACTTCATATTGCTTTTGTGACGGTGACTCAGCACTATCAAAAACACTGAGGAGCAGCAGACACGAGGCTCAGGGTCCTCACACACCTGGGCAACACCCACCCTCCTGATGACTGTTACACAGCTGGCCTACCTAGAGGCAAGGATGGCATGTACTGCTCCTGCCATCTGTCTTCTAGCCTGAAGTACATGCTCTTACACGTGCTGCTGCGCCATGCACAGCCACGGGTCCCTGACTCACCTGACTTTTGTTCCCTTGCCCCTTGGTTTCCAGCACAGACCAGTGCACATACTACTCCGGCCTGATCCACCTACTGTATTGTGACTTCCATTTGTCTGGAGCAGAGGACTAGGCACTTACCTTTGTGGGCCCAGCTCCCAGAGGGCCTGGGTGAGGGACAAAGGCAGACTGTGATGGTCACAGCTGGGGAGGGATGTTTAGGGATGGGTCATCGGAAATGCTCTTTGAATTCCAGGAAGACATAACCTGTTTTCTTGGATGAGGCTGCTGGGACCCTGCCCTTACCTGAGTCTCGCCTTCTGAGCAGGTGTGGAGAGGGTATTCTCAGTCTAGAAAAGTCTGCCTTCCATCACAGCCCTCTTGCTGGGGAGGCTTGGGGCTCTGGGCTCCGTTCAGGCGACGGGCGAGCTCTGCGGACCCTCTATAGCTGGCGCCCCTGGAGTGCCCACAGGGACTCAGATCTGGTGGAGCGAGCTCACATGCTCATCTTGATGGAGGTTGCTGCTGAGGTTAAGCTTCTTAGGCGACAAGCCTTCCTTGTGCTGTGTTCCCTTTTAAGTTTATCCCTCAGATTAAACTTGACCTCATTCTCTCCATTCATTTCTATAAAGGCTCTGCTCTTTCTCCCCAGACATTGAGAGGAAAGCCTTGCTCTCCTCTGGCTGGGAATTATCCCTGATGTTTTGTTTAATTAGTGTCTGAGGGTTAGTTGGTAATTGATGTAGTGTGAGCTTGGAGTACTTGCAATTAATGGCAAATCCTAGAAGACCCAAGGAGATGGACCAATAATTAGGAATGAGGATGCTGTAGTTTTAACTCTCTAGGGCAGGTGGGGGTTGCCCTAAGGTCAGAGTGGAAGCGTAACTTGTATAGCACATCCTTCAGTCAGGTGTGGGTCCTGCACATGGAGCGTCAGCACCAAGCTCACCACTCATGTCTGTGGGCCTTTGAGCAGGTTACCTGGCCTCTCTGTGCCTCACTGGCCCCTCGTCTCTAGCACAGGCCAGCGGGGGCTGGCGGTCTCCAGCACAGATCAGAGAAGCAGGGGAGCACGCGCACTGCCCTTTGCAGGCTGCTGCAAGTGTGAATGAGGTGGATTTTGTAAAGCACTCAGAATAGTGATTGGCACAGAGCAATAATTTTGAAAATTTTTCCTGACAA